ATCGCTGAATGAATATATTAGAAAACAGTAAAGACTGGAAATAAAAGAAGCTAAAAATTAACTCAGGGAAGAAAGAAGGAGGAGGAGCAGGAAACGGAAGAAGAGGACAGAGAAGAGAAGGTATTAAGTTGAATAAACTAAAGAAAATGAAATTACACATAACTCAGACCATGAAATATAAATCTGAAACATACAGAGTATTAACAAAGCTACAAGCTAGTTATTTGAAAAGACTCAAAAGAGACAGATAAGATTTAGAAAAAAAGAAAAAACAACGCAAATATACAACGTGATGTATATAACTTCCAAGTGAGTACAGGTAAGGAAGGAAAAATTGCTCAAGTCCCAGTCAGTTCAAAAGAAGAAAGAAGGTTGGGCATGGTGGCTTATGCGTGTAATCCCAATTCTTTGGAGGCTGAGGCAGGCGGATCACCTGAGGTCAGGAGTTTGAGACCAACCTGAACAATATGGTGAAACTCTGTCTCTACTAAAAATACAAAAATTAGCTGGGGTGGTGGACGCCCAGAATCCCAGCTACTCGGATGCTGAAGCAGGAGGATTGCTTAAACCCAGGAAGCAGAGGTTGCAGTGAGCAGAGATCACACCACTGCACTCCAGTCTGGGTGACAGAGCGAGAGGAAGGAGGGAAGGAAGGAAGGAAGGAAGGAAGGAAGGAAGGAAGGAAGGAAGGAAGGAAGGAAGGAAGGAAGGAAGAAGGGAGGGAGGGAGGCAGGGAGAGAGTGAGGGAGGGAGGGAGGGAAAGGAAGGAAGGGAGGGATGGAGGGAAGAGAGGGAGGGGAGGTAGGGAAGGAAGGAAGGAAGAAGAAAGGAAGAAAGAAAAAAACATTAAGAAAAAAAAGATCTACAGGGAGAAAACAGGATGTGCTCTAGAAAAACAGAGAACATGAGTTAATAACCATTCGAAGAGCTATGTCGTCCCAAAAACCTTCACCTCACAACCTCAAAAGGTAGTAGTCATAGAGTTTACAGGTGAATCTTAAGAAACCTTCAGGGTAAAGATAATTCTTGTGCAGAATATTTTCAATAAGTAAGAAAAGAAGATTTACACACTTTATGAACTTACTATAAGAGTGATTAAAAACTGGAGGAGAATACTAACAGAAATAAAATTTTAAATCAGTTTCACTTATAATCATAGATAAACACATTCTAAATAAAATAGTAGCAAATAAAGTCTATGTGTATGTAACGTGTACATATCTCAGAACCAAGCAGAGTTTATACCAGTACCATATGGTTGCTTGACTATCAGAAAAATTGCTGATGTAATTCAACACTTCAAAAGAAGAGTGAAGAAAAACTGTATTATCCCCCAATAGATGCAGTAGCAGCTCTCAGTAAAACTCAATAATTATTTCTGATTAAATGCTTTGCATTTTAAATGAGCCAGTTATCAATTTACTGCCTCTCAGCTTCAAATTCACCCTTCAGTAGCAGCTCAGCAAAAAGGCACAGGGCCCTCTAAGCATCTCCTCCTTTACAGTAAGTGTGATGGCAAGCTGGCCACAAGATGGTGGCAGGCCCTCAGGTGGTCGAGGACTCTGATTCTGGAGCAGTTTTTGCTTTTCTGTATTTGGTCATACGGGGTGGCTGGTCAGTTGTGTAGAAGTATCAGGACAACCATCAGGTTTCCTTTTTTAAAATCCAATGTAGTGTAAGTACAAACTATAACAACTTGGAATTAACCAAGGAAGGCAATGTAGAGTTAAATATTTTGGCATTGGCCGGGCGCTGTGGCTCACGTCTGTAATCCCAGCACAGCACTTTGGAAGGCTGAGGTGGGCATATCACCTGAGGTCAGGAGTCAAGACCAGCCTGACCAACATGGCGAAACCCTGTCTCTACTAAAAAATACAAAATTAGCCAGGCGTGATGGCACATGCCTGTAATCCCAGGTACTCAGAAGGCTGAGATAGGAGAATCGCTTGAACCCAGGAGGTGAAGGTTGTGGTGGGCAAGATCGCACCATGGCACTCCAGCCTGGGCAACAAGAGTGAAACTGAGTCTCAAAAAAAAATGGCATTAGCATAACCAATATAATTACAGGTGTAAAATGTTACATTATATGTCCCATAGCATTTTGCTCATACTTTTTCTGTCTTTCACTTTCCATATTGTAAATCTGAGCTTCTCAGGACTACTTTCATTTTTTTCTGTTGTTAACTTCATGAAAACAATCATCTAGTGCAATCATCTCATCAAGAAACATATAGATAGATAGATAGATAGATAGATAGATAGATAGATAGATAGATGTACACATACACACACACATATATTCTGTATCATAAAATTGCCCCTGCAAAGGACACTTAGACTTAAATGTTGCCAAGTGCTGTGAGCCTGCCCTCCAATCCCTGAGCAATGCCCACAGGCCTGCAGGGAGTGGAATGGTTCAGCAGCCGGCCTGGAGCCCCACTGTGGTCCCAGCACAGCTCTGCTAACTATTACTATGTACCTTTGTCACTGCTTGACTTTGGAAAAGTGACAACCTCTCTTGGCCTGTTTTCTCATCTGCAAAAGGTGATCATAACACTCCTCACCACATATGACTGCGATAGGGATTAAACGAATTTGTCTTTCTCAAGCCTTACAGCAATGCCTGGTTATGTGTAAATACAACATGAGTGTTTAGTCGATAACCAAAATCGATATCTTGCTTTATAGTAGTAGAATATTTAAATGAGCATCTCTGTTTTGGCAATGGCACAATCATTATACTAAGGGTGGTCTTCCTGCCTTCCCCCTAAAATCCAGGAACACCAATCCTTTTACATGAAGCCTCAACAACGCACCCTTCCACAAAAGATTTTCTTGGGGTTCACTCTTTTATGCACCTTAATTAGCTCCCAGTTCTCTTGAGTTTCAAGAGTTTTCTGGAAATGGTTCTGTTATGAAGCCAACTCCACTGTTCCCAATTCAAATATGATTTTTACAGCCAGGTAGAGTGGCTAGCACCTGTAATGCCAGCACTTTGGAAGGTGGGAGGATCGCTGGAGCTCCGAAGTTCAAGACCAGCCTAGGCAACATAGTGAGACCTCATCTCTACAAAACATTTAAAAATCAGCTGGCATGGTGGCATGACTGTAGTCCCAGCTACTCAGGGGGCTTAGGCAGGAGGACCACTCGAGCCCAGGAGGTCGAGGCTGCAGTGAGTCATGATTGTGCCACTGTAACATCGCCTCGCCAACAAAGCCCTGTCTCAAAAAAAAAAGAAAAAGAAAAAAAGAAAATACGATTTTGGGTTTGGCACAGCTTTTATTTGACTTGCCATCTGTGTGCAGGCAGGAGCCTACGTCCTGCGTGTGTCTTCTGTGGCATCCACGCTCACAGCTGCGTGGTCACACCTGGAGGCAATCACGCTGGGAAGGGCATCGCATGCATTAGGGAATGTGGGCTCTGCAGCTGCACTGCCTGCCTCAGTTCAGACACTACCCACCTTCGAACAAGCAGGTTAACCTCTGTGTACTGTGTCTTCCCCTGCAAAGCAGGAGTTACAAGCTCCATCTCACAGGACAGTTTCAAGGATTAAGTGAAAACACTTAGAAAGTCCATGGCTGTCAGCACCTACCTAAATGCATGTGACCTTTTGTCAGCATATGGGTAATCACATTAAATTCATGCTCATTTATATTTCAGTTCTTCTGATTGACTAAACTGGGTTCCTATCTCTTTTTGCCAACATTACTGAGTACATACGCATGGCAGACATGATGACAGGCATTGCACTTAAAGAAGGTAAAGATTTTATCCCCTTTAAACATCAATGCAACCTTACGAGGCAATTCTTATTCTGCCCATTTACGGACGAGGACACCAGGCCCTGATGCAATGCTTAGTTAGAGGCAGAGCTGGGACTGGAAGTCACGTCTACCTGCCTCTAAATCCCCATTATCTTAATCACTAGCATACAGTGTTCATTCTGTTCATGCCTTTAAATTTCACTTTAGCAATACTGGTGTTTCCTTGCATGTTCATTTTTGATAATGCCGGTATTTCTCTACCTGTTCGCCTTCACAAACATAAATAAAAATTGTTGGCCGTGTGCAGTAGCTCATGCCTCTAATCCCAGCACTTTGGCAGGCTGAGCGGGATGAATTGCTTGAGTCCAGGAATTTGAGCCCAGCCCAGGCAACATGGCAAAACCCCATCTCTACAAACAATTCAAAAAATTAACCTGGTGTGGTGGCATGCCCTTGTGGCCCCAGCTAATCAGGAGGCTGAGGCAGGAGGATCACTTGAGCCTGAGAAGCAGAGGCTGTCATGAGCTGAGGTCATGCCACTGCACTCCAGCCTGAGCAGCAGAGTAAGACCCTGTCCCCCTCAAAATTGTTTTAAAACCATGTATGTATCTGTAAGTACATGTTTATCTGTAAGTGTGCCTTAAGCTTATGTCATTAAACTGAGTGCTCTTAGGGATCCTGGTATTCCTTCGTTAGACAGATTCCTGAGGCAATAACCTCCTCCCTTTAGCTTCTCCCACTAACTCTATCCAAGTCTTTAATTACAGAGCAAACTCAGCAGGAGACTTAAGTGACAGCTAAAAGGTATGTGCTAGAAACATTCAAAAGGTAAGTCCTCAGGCCGGGCGCGGTGGCTCAAGCCTGTAATCCCAGCACTTTGGGAGGCCGAGGCGGGTGGATCACGAGGTCAAGAGATCGAGACCATCCTGGTCAACATGGTGAAACCCCGTCTCTACTAAAAAATACAAAAAATTAGCTGGGCATGGTGGTGGGTGCCTGTAATCCCAGCTACTCAGGAGGCTGAGGCAGGAGAATTGCCTGAACCCAGGAGGCGGAGGTTGCGGTGAGCTGAGATCGCGCCATTGCACTCCAGCCTGGGTAACAAGAGCGAAACTCCGTCTCAAAAAAAAAAGAAAAAAAAAGGTAAGTCCTCACGCTGGACCCCAAAACCGAGGCTCCCAGGCAGGATGCACTTGTAGGGTAACAAGGTCATGGAGGTGAGGGGCCGGCACTCACGTGGTGACAGTGTTCAAGCCACAGGCCTTCAGCTTCAGCAGGCGGTCCCTCCAGTACTCCCTGGGCACCCGGAAATAGTGGATGGAGCCCCCGAAGATCAGGAACTTGTGGCCCTCCAGTGTGAAGTGGGGGTTACCCTGACCTGTGCTTTCAGTTCCAAGTCCCACAGATCGGTTCTTCAGCTCCAAAGGAGTCAGGTGAGACCAATTAAACCTGGAGGAGGCGGGCGAGGGAAAGAAAGTGGAAAGGGAGAGAGGGCTCGGGAGAGAGCTCGGGAGAGAGCTCGGAGGGACGGCTGAAACCCTAGCGGAAAAAAAAGTTCTTGTTAGTGGGGCGTGTTCTGTGCACACTGGTGATATTATTTTCTCCAAGAAAGAAGAGATCGCTCCCCTCCCTCCCCAGGAATGTAGCTCTCAGGCAAACCTGGGCTGGGGCGGATGCGCTTTTCCAATCACGAGGTTCTCTTCCTGTTTAAACCGAGGACCAAAACCTGATAAGATAAACGGCAGGAAAAAGATGCCCACCATTCTCTTCCAGGAGAGCCACGGGCTGAAAGGAGAAGGGATAACAGTGACAAGCGGAAGGCGCTGGTCCCACCAAGCGGCAAGGGCCGGGCAGCCGTGCCCGGGGCGCTTTAGAGGCCAGAGCCCCGGAGGGGGCCGCGACACAGGCAGGTCTTCCAGGCGGCTCAGGGCCAGGAGAGCGCGGCATCGCCCGGTCAATCCTCCTCGGTCACGACGGAGGCCGGGAACAGACGTTCAGTCCTAGATCCGACAGACACGGCTGGGCACCGCGGGCGGGTGCCCGGGAAACGGGGAGGTGGGCGCGCTTCCACCACCAGGTTCAGGAAGGACGCGGTGCCCAGCGGCCGGAGCCCCTGGCCTGCATCCCCAACCCCGATTTTCTGGCATCTGGTGAACAGCCCCTCCGCGGGGCGGGGGTAGCGAGGGGATCTTCGGACAAAAGCTGGGGAGAGCGGGCTTGAGGACGGAGCCTCGCGCCGCGCGGCCTCGGGCGCCTGGCTGGCCACAGGACCCGGGGAGGTCTGGAGGCTCCCAGGCACGCTGGGGTGGTGGGGAACCCGAGAGGGCGGGCTGGGCTGCGGCCGGGACAGCGGCGATCCCTCACCTGAGTAGAGACGAGGACCCCATCGCGGCGAGGCCGTGGCACCGAGGGTCTCTCGCGGTTCCCGTCCCTCTCCGCTCAGGGCTGCGCGCTGCGCCGGGAGCCGGGGCAGAAATCCGTCCGGAGGCGCGGGAGCCTGGCCGGGGTCCCAAGGCTGCTCTGTCGGGCTCCGCACCGAGAGGACAGCCGGGCGCCTCTGGCGCTGCAGGTGTCCGCGCAGCCCGTCCGGGTGTAGACGTCTCTCGGCCCTTGGAGGGAAAACGGGAGGGCCCGTGGGTCAACGCCCCGACCTTGGGCTTCCTGACCTGGGTCGACAGCCAGCTGGCACAGAAAGGCCCGCGCGTGGGAGAGAGGCGGAGAGAGAGCCCAGCGCGGGGCACAGCAGGAAGTCTCCAGGCAGCGCGCTCTAGAAACCACGTGCAGATCATAAAGCAAGGATTCACAGCGGAGCACGAAGTACAGGCGAGAGTCCTCGGAAAATTCTAGTTTCCCCACGCTGTTACCTCGTGATAAACGAGTGAGAATTAGAGCGCAGAGCCGTGGGAAAGCGGTTCCCTCGGCGAGAGCGGCCGGAGCACAGCTTCACGGCAGGCGCGAGCGCTGCGGGGGCTGCGCGGACCAAGTTGCAGGACAGGCAGAAGGCAGGCGCGGGGTGGGGGCGGTGGACGCCTAGCCCCTTCCAGAAAACAATGGGGACTATTACACGGTTTACAGCAGAAACTAAGCCAGGTGTTCGTTTCACGGAGATTTACTCGGCTGCAGGGTGGAGGCTAGATGAGAACCATGTCCTCTCGGGTAGGTGGTAGTAACGCTACCCAAGAGGAGGGCACGGGTTCCGGGAAGACTTAAGAGGTTCAACCCGCCGCTCTTGATGACTGAGCGCATGAGGTCGGTGATACGGAGCGAGGAGTCTGGACGGCCGCATGTTTCAGGCTTAAGTAACTTGGCGGTGACGATGATTGAGACGGGAGACATGGGAAGGGATAGAGCCTGCCTAGAGGGAAAGGTGATGAACTCGATTTTGGAAACGGTGATGTGAAATCCCTATGATGGAAACAAAAATACACCTTCTGATTTCTCCCTTTGACGTCTTTGCTTCTCACATTTGAAAGAACAGAGCCTACCACATCAGGTTGAAACCAGGAATGGAGTTCTCAGAGAATACTGCGTTGGGAGAAGGGAGTTGCTCTTGTCTCACTCATTACAAGGATACTTTCCTCTCTAAAACCTTAGCTCCCTGAAAATGTGCAAACTGTCCATCTTTTCCTCATTTTTAGGTTGTAAGTAATGAACTGTTAATAATTTTGTACGTTGTGGTTTTACAGCCACACACTTTATGCTTCTTTGTCAAGTTCAAAGTATTCTACGGCTTGTGTCTTCCCACATAAAATTTAGAATAAACTTGTCTATTTCTACAAAAAGCCACGCTGGTATTCCTATAGGAATTGCAATCAACCTAGAGATCAAATTGAGAATCATATCCTTATTGAGTCTTGAACCCACAAACACGTATGTCTCTCTATTTAAATAGTTCTTTTTCCACTTCATCAGAATTGTGTGATTTTTCAATATACAGATCCTATGCATGTCTTGTCAGGTTTATACTTAAATAATTCTATTGCTCTTAAGAGGTTAAAAATGTTATTATATTTTTGATTTCAGTTTTGACATGTTTGATGTTAGCATATAGAAATGTGATTGAGTTTCCCATGTCGATCTTGTATCCTGTGAGCTTGGTAACACCTACTAATTTTAAGAGGTTACCTATAGATTACTTGGCATTTTCTACATAGATAATTATGTCATCTGCAAATACGGACAGTTTTATTTCTACTTTTCCAGTCTACATGGCTTTTTATTCCTCTTTTATGTGTCTTAGTATGATAACTAAAATTTCTGTGTTGAAAAAGAGTGGCAAGAACTGACATTTTTACTTTGTTCCCAGCTGGAAAACATTCAATTTTTCACTATTAAGTATGAAGACAGCTATAGGTTTCCTGTACATATTCTCTATCAAGTTGAAATAGTTTGACAGCTGGGTCTACAGTCACCAGCAACCCTGTTGTGATTTATTGGAACAAGCTATATATCAAGAATTGTGATTTTCTGCAGACGCTGATGGAGGAAATTTGACAAAGGTAGAAGAGTCAAAGAATGGATTATTGGTTCATTTGAAGGGTGACTCATCCTGTGTCCTTTTGCCATCTGGGGCTCCCCTCTGCTGATAGGAGTATTTGAGAACATCTACAAATGAACCCTGGAGAGTGTGAAAGTTCCCCCAGATTTCTGTGTTCATTAAACCTGTAGAAGTCTTGAAAATGTACAAGGTAAAGTAACAATTTTGATCAAACAAAGCTGTCAGTTTCTGTCTTGAGAGTACAGAAGTACTCTCAAGATACTCTACAAGGCCAACATCCTGAGCACAGGAAACACCAGCTACTAGGGCCACAGACCCAGCATCCTGATGCAATTTGTTTAAAAAAAAAAAAATCACTATTTTTTCCCTTCAGTTTCTAACCAGATAATTGATGATGAAGCGAAGAGTTAACTTCCCAAAGCAGACAGAAAACATCAGAAAGCTTCCAGAACTGCTTGCAAACTTCCTGTGCCAGCACTTTGATGTTAATTAAGCACAATTCCTGCTTTTAGATTGCTCTCTTGTAAGAACAGCAGCTTCTAGAAAAAGAAGGCACCGCCCTCTGTTGCTTTAGTAGTGGACAACCCTATAGGAGTTCATGTATAAACCAGAAAAGACCATTCTTGATTTCTTCTTAGGGTGGACTTCTTTAAAAAATGTATGCGACAGGCCAGTCATGGTGGCTCACACCTGTAATCCCAGCACTTTGGAAGGCTGAGGCAGGTGGATCATGAGGTCAGGAGATCGAGACCATCCTGGCCAACATGGTGAATACAAAAATGAGCTAGGTGTGGTGACACGTGCCTGTAATCCCAGCTACTCAGGAGGCTGAGGCAGGAGAATTGCTTGAACCCGGGAGGCAGAGATTGCAGTGAGCCGAGATCGTGCCATTGCACTCCAGTCTGGTGACTGGCAAAAAAAAAAAAAGAAAGAAAAAAGAAATGTGTGTGACAACTGTATAATAAGAACCCTTCTGAGACCCAAAAATCTGGCTTAGGAATTGATATTATCAGTGGAAAATTAAAGGGAAAGATTATCAATTATTAATATTCCAGTGGTCAGAGAGCTGTGAACAAAGAGTCGAGACAGAGGTATCTTTAAGATTAGAGTAGGCAAAATCTGTTGTCTACTTACAAGATCATCTTTCTAGGTTTACTGATAGTTAATAAAAAGCAGCATAATTTCTAGAAGCGAAAATTTAGCCACTTCTATTTATAAACCATGCTTGTTAGAGAAACTTTGTTTGCTTAAGTCATGATTATTACAGAAATTGAAAAATGCTCATGTGAGCTATTAAATGGACCTGTGGTCTCCCAGTAATTAATTTAACCCATGATGATACACAGTTAACAGGCTGAGATGGAGGGATAGGTAGATTACAGATACATCCCTGCTAGAGATCTTCAGACCCCTAGCTTTAAAACAACTTACAGACATTCAAACTCAGGTAAATTGATAATCAATATGATACGGATCGTCTCCAAAAGATTTAAAAACAAATGACATAGATATGCACCACTGCAGGGCTCCTCCCAGAAGAGGGAAGTGAAGCCGCCCACCTCCATCTCTGCCTCCACCTGCTCCTCCACAGGGTGACTAATGCCAAGTGCAGTCCTCTCTGAAGGAGGTGCTCAGCTTTGGGCAGTCCAGCTCAGCTGCCTGACTCTGGCTGTTACCATTCAAATGTGTCTTTTTTAAGGACTGAGTCTACTAGATGCATTCATTAGTTAAGCAAATGGAAATTCAGGCAGAACTGTGTGGTGAGAAGCGAGGGTTAAAATGTGTTATCAAGCGTCTTTTCTCCTAGGAGTTGAAGTTAATCAGCCTGATCAGGTCAGGGGGGAAGCCTTGCCTTCTGCATGAGTGCATCATTGATGATGAAAAAGGGCCAGCCTTGAGAAGGTAAGACAGGAGGATTGCTGTCTCCATGGGGCACCCAGAAAGAGGCTGCTGTCCTTGCAGATAACCTGATCCATTGAGCCAAGAACTGGATGGGGAGTGTCTGTAAGAATATTAAAATCCTTATCCCGAAGTGATTTATTTTTGTCAGGTTTTTTCCTCTGTTATTAACAGCTGACATTTACCAAGCACTCCTACAGTCCTACATGTTTGACATTTCTATTCTTTTCTTTTCTTTTCTTTTCTCACTCTGTCACCCAGGCCAGAATGCAGTGGCGCGATCTCGGCTCACTGCAACCTCCACCTCCCAGATTCAAACAAATCTCCTGCCTCAGCCTCCTGAGTAGCTACAGATGTGTGCCACCACGCCCGGCTACTTTTTATATTTTTGGTAGAGATGGGGTTTCACCATGTTAGCCAGGATGGTCTCGATCTCCTGACCTTGTGATTCGCCTGCCTCGGCCTCCCAAAGTGCTGGAATTACGGGGGTGCGCCACCGTGCCCAGCCCTATGTTTGACTTTCTGTTGTCTCTTAACTCTCACAGCACCATAAAGCGGGTACCATTAGTATCCCTCCTTTATCAATGAGGAAACTAGAGCACAGAGGCTTTCAGTGAGGTGTACTGTCACACAGCAGGTTGGTGACAGCTGGGATCTGAATGCCCTGTAATAGAAATATTCAGTCTCACATTGCCGAGATTGGTTCACCAGACTCTGCTCAGCAAACAGCCGCGTGCAAAGCACTGCTCCTGTTCAAACTAAGTGTGATGGCGCAGGTGAAAGTGCTTTAGGAAAAGTCCACAAATGCATTTCAAATGAAAGGATAACCATGTGTCTAGCAAAAGGGAAAGTGAAATGCTTCTAAACCATCAGGTCTGTAAAATAAACTACGGTAACATGGAAAACTATATCCAAATATTAGAAGGCTTAAAAATTCTTTTTAATTGATTTTATAGTTTTTTCAAAATCTTTTTTTAGAGATGGGGTCCCACTCTGTTGCCCAGTCATAGCTCACTGGAAAATGCCTGAAGAGGCCCCAGTTCCCAAGGGCTCTGCTGCACACAGCACATCCTTGCCAGCTGTGGGTTCCATGCAGGACTCTGAAAACAAAATTGCGGGAGTCTGTGAGCCATGTGCTTTTTTTTTTTTTTTTTTTTTTTGAGACGGAGTTTCGCTCTTGTTACCCAGGCTGGAGTGCAATGGCGCGATCTCGGCTCACCGTAACCTCCGCCTCCTGGGTTCAGGCAATTCTCCTGCCTCAGCCTCCTGAGTAGCTGGGATTACAGGCACGCGCCACCATGCCCAGCTAATTTTTTGTATTTTTAGTAGAGACGGGGTTTCACCAT